CGGGGGACGGGGCACGGCGCGGGGCAGCGCCCGGGGAGGGGGCCGGGGGAAGCCTGCAGTTCGTTCGCAGCGCAAGCTGACAAACGGGCTCTGGCCGGCGGGTTGGGGGGGCACTTTTCACCCTTAATTGGCTGATTTACGGTAGATTTGCGATCGCCAGTACAAAACGCCGGTCGTTTCCTCGGGTGAAGCCAGCTGATGCCGATACCCCTTTGGCTATTCTGGCTGCGTTATCCACATACAGCGGGTCACGGAGCGTTTTCAGCGTGTTGGTTGGTTTGATGTTTGTACGCTTCCATTACACTGCCGCGGGTTAGACCACAATTACCTCTCTTCGATGCCCGTAGGAATTTTGCGTGAATCAGATCGGTGCTTGCAACTTGAATGACCAATGAATGCAGAAATTAGTAGCCACCTTTCATAACCTGTTTTCTCAGTGCTCTCCCTGTTGTCTCTTTATTTATATGTTCACTGAGTTCAGCTCGATAATCTAGAGAAAGTTAATGTTACAAATTGAAAAGATATTGAAAGCACGGTTTAGTTCCCTTCTTGACAGTCAGTCTTTAGGAAGTAACACAACATCTGCAACTGCAATAAAATCGGGTTAAATTGAAGCTATTTTGGAAAGCTGTTTAAGAATTTGTCCATCTTGTACAGGAGACAGAGCATTAGGCTGGTTTTGCTTAGAAGAAAGAACTTATTCCAGTTCTCAAGTGAAAATGCAGAATGAAACTTTGGTGACAAATTAGCATAGATGGAAGTAAATTGGTAATATTAGAAACTGGGATTGAAAAAAGAAGAATGAATCTCTGCCCCAGAGCATTTCAGAATCCTTCTAAGCTAACTGGAAATAAATACATTTTTCAAAAAAACTTAACATGCAATGTTTCTGAATTGACTTTTTAACTGATTTAACAGAGCTTGGTACAATTCTGATTTAGATTTACACCCACCTCCACACACACCCCACCACCCCCTGAGGTGGTTCTGAGAAAACTTCACAGGAAAGTTTTCTAAAAGCTCTCTATGTCTTACGAAGGATTTATTAACTCATTTATTTCCCAGCCAACTCACAGTTCTTGTCTTTATCAGCACTGTATCTTTTAATGCTCATTATTAATCAATTTGTAGAGAGTTTTCATAATTTGTGTGAAAATTAGAATAAAATTCTAAAATGTAATACATGTTGCCAAAGTAATTTTGTCCCTGTTGAACCTACATAGAGAATATAACTTTTCCTTCACTTTGCACTATTGCACTTTAAAAATATGTGAAAAAAGTCATTTTCCCTTGAAATACAAATGTGAAATTTCATGTGAAACAATTTTTTTCATAAGAGAAGTTTAGTATTTCAATTCTATCAAGAAAAATAACCAAAATTATTAATAAAACTTTTAACCTAGACACCAAGAGTAACCTCATTATCTGATTAAGAAAAATCATTCTAAAAGAACAATGCCAATGTTGAAGGCTGATATTAGAATTTGATCGCTTGCTGTCATCACATGCTAATATTAGCTTTCACTGTTGATCTGGCCCTTTTTGAATTATTCTCTTTAAGCTTTGTGTTATATTCTTATTGTGAATAAAGGAAAAGAGCAAGTGGAACAAATATTTTCAATAAAATCCAGATTCCAAGCAACTGAAGTTCATGGAAAATCACTGGAATCAGCAGTAAGGCCTACTTTTACCAAGCAATATCAATCGTAATTCTTGTATTCCTTCAGTTTGGCTAGGAAAAGTTATCTCATGCTTGATAGCAAATAACCCAGGATTAGAATAGGATATCTTTTAATCGTAAATTAAATATTTTAATTGTAGTACTTCCTTCTCTGAATTTCAGACAAACACCATCAAATAAAACATTTATTCTATTTAGTAACGAATGAGTAATTTTATCGCGTGTCACTAGGTGGTGCTCTGCTCCATCTTTAGAGTTACAACCGAGCATTTCGGATTGGTGAGGCGAGGTTTGCGCCACGATTAGCCACTATTCACAAATGAGAATTTTCATGTTACAGTTGAAGAGAACACCAGGAAGCAAGGCTCAGGTCGGATAAGGGATTTAAACAATCACATCCAAAAGGTAATTCCGAAAACTTTTGCTTTTTATTTGTCCAATCCTGCGAGTGCCCAAATTGCCAAGATTGGTTTTAAGCTTTCTGTCCTACCAGTTTCACAGGAAGGAGCTTGGTTCTGCAGCTGAGTAGTTGAAGCACTCAGTGGGGAGTAGGGAGTTTTAGAACTGACATTTTGTAGGGTTGATCCAGTTTAACCTGAAATAGAAATGAGATTTTTAGAGTTCTGCAAAAAGAGTATTGGATTACAGAATTGTTCCTTCTGTGAGAGCACTAATGACTTGACCAGAGAGGTGGACGCTGGCTTGTGCTTGCTCTCTCTGGCAAGAAGCCCAGGTTGGAGCCTTTGGTCTCAATCCCCTGGTCCACATGGACCAGATGCTGACTTCATAACATGCCTCATCTAGGTCTTGTATCCAACTGCAGCCACTTTCCTGGGAGATTAGTATGATGAGGGTCCACCTTCACTTATGAGTCTTTACTGCTCTCTCAAGTATGTAATGTTTCTTGTAAAGGCAAAAAAAAAATATTTAAAATCCTGGAGCACCCAGGAACTCAGAGTGATTTAATTGTGAATTAAGACAGTAACCATTCAACCTGCTTCGTGTGTTGTGGTGGAACATGATGGAGACATGATGGAACATGAACTTTTTCATTTTCAGGCCTACTTGTAGTTTTTAAGAGTTTTTTTACATTACCCACCTTCAGACATGTTTATCAGCATCAGCAACAGAAATACTGCAGCAGTGAAAAATCATGGGCATCTTCCGATTCTTTGTTTTTCACAAAGTCACCCAGAATAGAAAGGAGAAACCCAGACATAAACTCAAGCTTCCTGACTCCAAGCCTCTGCTTTAATCACAAGGTTCTTCTTATTTCTTATGAGTGTGTTGTTTATTCATGGAGAGTGAATCCTGGTGCTGCCTGCACTTAAGGCTTGACTTTCTTGCCAAGAAACTTACCCGGTTAAAACTGGGGCAGGAATGTGGGCTGGGAGAGGAAGGTCTTAAATGAAAGCATGACAACTCCTTGCTAGACTGGTTAAGTGAGATGACTACCCCTATCCATATCCCCTTCTGGGTCAGACATGGAACAGAGACCAATAACATTAATAGCAGGACACAGCACCTGAGAAAGTCAACCTAAAAGCAAACATTTTCTGCCTAATTAGAGAAGGTGTAGCTGAGCATTACTTCCATTACTCTCAAATGATCTTGCTTATGTACAGTAGCTTTGCAAGTATGCACTATTCTCCACATGTAGCTACTTTACTTGGAATATCCTGAATTGAAACACCCAGAGACTGCACGTAATGCCACCTACTATGTTCAAGCTGCTAGTAAGGTTTTCTGACAATTTCCACTCTAAGACCTGGTGTTTATGACCTTGCCTCACTTGAACCATTCAGTCTGAAATTTCTTATGGCAGGTGCTGAAGATTTTTGGACAACTTCAGCACAAATTATTCAGTCATTTCTAAGAATGAAATTAAAGGAGACATTATGGTATCCCCTTTTTGGGTAGTAGTAAAGAAATTCTTATACACGATTTGGATCAGAGATTTTTAATGGACAAGGAGAAAGAAGTGCTGTCTGCTTTTTCTAATGTCTGAGAAACTTCCTCCACATTTGCCCAAAACACTTTGATAAATCACAGTGTATGGTCAGTCAGCTTGCTGACCTTCATAGCTAAGGAATCTGAAGACTGTGTCTGCATGGCGTACCTCTGAGCCTGCCTGAGACAGTTTGGACTACCCTGAAATGGGCTGCTGACCTGCCACATGCTTTCACTGTTTTGCCTGTGCCTCAGTGATTGTCCTGACGGTGGCCAGGCACAATGGACAAAGAAGCATCCTGAGATGAATGTAAAGAAAAACAAAAGGAGAAATGGCTATTGCTGTTACACAGCTTCTTGGAGTTGATGATAAGGAATACCTTGGTTAATAAGGGAAGCAGGGCCTAGGAGCTCTCTGAGAAGGATTAGGGGATTCATAAAGGTCAGTATCAGGAAGGATCATTAAAG